GCTCCATGCAGGATTGCAGCAGGTCTTGAAGTGTACAACGTGCTAAATGCTGTTCTGGGTACCGAGAAGGAGAGACGTTGGTAAAAAATCTCTGCTCTCTAGTACTCTAGCCTCCTAAAGACACACAGAAGAGGCCTGGGATGAGCCTTAGGTAAGATACATACATAAGGCATTACAGAATTAGGGAATGCATCCAACTCACGTGGGTGCTGGTAGGGACACCCTCAGTACAGAGAGTATTTTGAGAGTAGCCAAGGACAAATCAGAAAAGTGAGATAATGAAAGGGTCTTACAGGCAGAGGAGCACTGCTTTCAAAAGAGCCAGAAATCCTGCTTTCTCCTAGGTACGCTATCAGCCTGGCCTGGGGAATGAAGCTGGGAAATACGCAGAATTTCAAACCCCGAGGAGCCAACGGTGCTATACCAAGGGGTTTAGACGTTGGTTCTGCAGATAAGCAGAATCTATCTGATTTGCATTTAAGGATCTGAAGTCTGGAAAATTCCAAGATAAACACTTGATGTACCTTTAAAGGGACTGCCTGTCTGGCAGAACAAGGGGCACAGCTTCTTTACCGTGCATGGCGTCTAGGAAGAAGTTACCCTTCACACCAAGAACTTGCTTTTCAAACCTTTTCAAAGAGGTTGAATTCCCCATCATTCCAGCAACCCGCTCCAAATTCAGGATCCATAAAATAAAGGGCCCACTCTGTCACAATCTGTGGTTCAGCAGGCTTGCGGTTAAAGGTGTCTTGTGTATGTGTGCTTGCATGTGCACATTGCCTGTCGGCCATCTCTGTTTCTGTGGAGAGTGGATGGCAGATTGATTTTCTGAGTTCACCACATTTACCAGCTGTATCTTTTTTTTCCCTCACTTTAGTTTATATTTTAAAAAAGAAAACAAACATCTTTTTCATATTACATACCAATCTCAGTTCCCACTCCATCCCCTCTTCCCATGCCCTCCAGCTTACCCCTTCCCCACCCGCCACCCCTAGCCACTTCCCAGAGAGGGTAAGGCACATTGCTCCGAGGAATGACCAAGGCCCCCCTCCACTATATCCAGGCTGAGCAAGGTATCCATCCAAAGAGAATGGGTTCCAAAAAGTTAGTATAAACACTAGGGATAAATCCTGGGGCCCCTCAGTCAGCCCCAGCCTCACAACTGTCACCCACATTCAGAGGGTCTAGCTTGGTCCTACTGGCTGTGGCTTGCGTGTGTTTATTCTGACAGAGTGTGAGCTGAATCACAGGAGCAGAAGGCGCCACACCAGCAGAGATCCGAGCCCTTCGAGGGTGGCCCAGATGGCTTCCGTAAAGGCACTTGGCACCAAGTATGAGGACCCAAGTTTGATTCCTGGGACCTACAAGGTAGAAGGAGAAACTGATTCCTGCTAAATTGTCCCATGACCTTGACATTTGCTCTACGTTAGGCCTGTGTACAAATGCGTGCACGCGTGCACACACATCTGTACACTAAATGATTGTAACCAAAGAAAAGAACTCTTTCGTAATCAGACTCGATTCACTGAAGAGCAGCGCAGCTCAGGACGGGAAGTAGAAATGGCCAGCTCTCGGTGATTGTTCAGGTCCTGCTTGGGTTAAGCCAGGATAGCTCCACAAAGATATCCCAGTGTTATCATTGCCTATCCCAGGTGTTCCTGTCATTGTTTCAGAAGGAAAGTGGCGCTGTGTTGAAATGGCCCGTATCTCCTGGTTCAATGGACTTAGAAAACAGGCTCACCAAGGAGGCTCTAATCTACACGCAGAAGAAAGGTGGGTCGGTGTGGCGTGGATTAGACTTGAAAGACGAGGAGATAAAAGAAAATCCTTACTTCTAGACTTGAGCCGGAAAGCTATCCAGTTACAGGCAGATGCTGCCCCTCCCTGGGTGAAATTGCCTTGATTAATTTTCCTGAACGTCGGTAAAGGAAGCCAGGAATTGTGGGGTACCCCTGTAATCCCACCACTTCAGGGGTACAGAGGTAGGAGAATTACTGCAAACTCTACACACTGAGTTCCAAGCCAGTCAGACAAGGCAAGATCTCAAGGGGGGAAAAATGTCCGCAAAGGGCATTACTGGAAGTAAGGAGCACAAACCTCCCCCTTCCCCGCCCCACCCCCACCCCATTCAACATTTTTGCCTTATTTGCTAACTTGTGTTGGGAGTGGGCAGAGGCAGGAGGATCACAAATTCAGACCCTGTCTGTGTTAGGGACTGGGCTCAAAGTCTAACCTGGATTAACTAGATCTTGCCTCAAAATAAAATTTAAAAAAGGGGGGGAGGAGAGGGGTTGTGGCTGAAGCTCAGTGATAGGGCACATGCCTGGAATGCCTGAGGCCCTAGATCCAATCTCCAGCACTTCAGGGAGAGAGAAGAAAGAGTTGATTTGCAGCTACCACGTGGTGGCCTTCCTTCTCATTCGCGCATTATGCAGATGGTCCTGGCTTCCTAGAATTCTTAATGCAATTCCAGAAATTTTTATTAGCAGCCATCGCGGAGGAACCGTCTTCCAAAGCGACTCTCCTGGCTTTCCACAAAGGACCCGAACTACCTCCGGCCTCTCCCAAGTCCCACCCCACCTAGATCTCTGAGGGTCAATTTACATTCTTAAAACAACACTTTGGTTTAAGTTCCCTTTTTCAAAATCTTCTACCTCCTCCTCTATGTTTTCCATTAAAGTCTAAACAGTTAAATCCGGGTAGAACGCCCCACACCAGGTTAATTCTGAGAGCCACTCTAGCTCACAAGGCAGCATGGTACCCTCAGCGACCCAGGAATGGACAGTTGGCCTTCATTATCCCCACAACGGTTTGTTTGCAGACCAGCAGCCCCAAACCCTCATTCCTTCTCTATTTGCCTTGAAAGAACATTCCTGAAGGTGGTCTAATAGGTACGATGTAAGCTGGAGCTCCCAGCCCACACACCCTGACTATTCTCCATCCTTTTCAGGGATTGCTTGAATCTCTGACTTCCTTAAAGGGGAGATGCTCCCCCCCCCAACCGCGATACAAGCCACCTTCTAGCCTTGAGCACAGCAGGATAAAGGGGAAAATCCCAAGCCCTGGGAAGATGTCTGGCACACTTTGGGCTCCCAACAAACATCTCTTGATGGTATCGAAAACAGTCAAGATATTCGACTTTTTTCACCTAAGAGTACTGTTACCCACCACCCACCCTTTCTTCTTAAGGCCAGGGACTTTCCCCTTCATCCCTACCTGCCTCGGGCGAGAAAAGAAATTTCAAATTATCTTTATTTTGATTAAAATTGGCTTTGATATATAAGAAACAAGATTTCCTTTCTAATCCTGTAAGAAATGAGAACTTCCCAAATTTCTCTCCCTCAGCCCTATGCAGCACTGAATTTCAGCTTTCTTGAAAAGAACTGACCGGGATCTTGTCTTCCCAAATAAAACTTTGTATCGTCTCCGAGGGGTCAGATCGCCCCCGGAGTTCCCATTCAAGACAAATGTTTGTTGTGAAATGAGGTGTCAGTCCGAACTGTCTACAGGCAGAACAGTACAAAGATACTGAGCAGGAAAAGAAAGAAATCAACGCATTGAACCCCCAATTAGACCTTAGTCTAGGGGTGACAAAGGCGCCTTAACCGCCCCTGTGTTCTCTAAGCTGTTGATTCAGGGGCTTTTTGAGAACAAAACGCCTCCTTTCAAGGACCTGGCCGTCAATCACCCTTCACTTACTGAAGAGTGTGTGTCCGATTTGTTTATCTGAGTAAGATCTCTGTCGCGCTCAGCCAGTCACCTCACTCAGTCACCGACCGGAGCACGTTTCCTTAAATTAGAGATCCGTGGACTCTACAGGCGAACTACATTACCCAGCGGGCTTCGCGCCCTTCGCAGGAAGGACGTCTGCGCACTAAGATACTCAGTTCCAAGTTTGGAGCTTTTAGCTGCCAGCCCTGGCCCATCATGTAGCTGCAGCACAGCCTTCCCTAACGTTGCAACTAGGGAAAAAATCACTTTCCAGACTGTTTTGCAAGGTGTGCAATTCCATCTTGACTCCCTGAAAGTCCATCTGCTGCATCGGTCAAGAGAAACTCCACTTGCATGAAGATTGCACGCCTGCAGCTTGCATCTTTGTTGCAAAACTAGCTACAGAAGAGAAGCAAGGCAAAGTCTTTTGTGCTCCCCTCCCCCATCAAAGGAAAGGGGAAAATGTCTCAGTCGAAAGGTAAGAGCCTGTTTGCATTAGTTGCAAAAAAAATGCAAAGGCTTATGCATGCATTCATGAATGCATGGATGCAATTTTCGCCCGGCGATTGCATTTTTAAGTTTGAGGTTTTCCACAGCTCAGTTGCATTTCCTGTTTAGTGTGTGTCTTTTTTTGCAGACACAGAGAGTTCCTGTAAGGCAGGGCTTGCAGTTCAGCTGTGCATTGACATTATTTGCATTCTTCTGCTAGGATTACTGAGCCTTTTTGCCTTTTGCACAGTCAGGAGAGAGATAGCAGGTTGGTAGCGTCTAAATGTGCAATGCTTTATATAATAGTACATTTCTTTAGTATGCACGCACATTCTAAGTAATTTTGTGTGCAACAGGAATCCAAATTTTCGAAAAGTCTCGAGGTGAAGATGAAAGGTAAAACTCGATTTAAACTACTAGGAAATTAACGTGATCTTGTATTCTTTAAGGGAATGAGCCACCGTGGTGCCAGATTTCAGCTAAATTTGTATTAATTTCGCTTTGGACAATAGGCAACTTTTGATTTTGAAGAGACGTAAAGGTGAAGTTTCGAGAGCAGTGTAATATTAAAAAAAAATAAGTAAAGCAGCCAAGCCTTGCTCTCCCGAGGTTTTTTACACTTTTACCAGTCACTTGCAGTGGTGAAAACCTAAATCTGTTTGGCCATTTGGAGATGCTTTGCACCTGAGGGAGGGAGGGTTTTAGGGGGTAGCCGTATTTCTAAGCCTTGCATCCACATGAGCCGACCTTTACTGTCTCACTGACAACTGCAACGGATTCCTATAAGTGTGTAGCTGCAGAGATTAATAGGTCAGAAGTTCAGGGCTGTGGCTGCCTCTTTTTTCTTTTTCAAATTTACTTAATTAAAAAAGAATTTGTAAGGTTGTATTTTGCAGATTTACTGATGATGTTCTGTGGAGGAAATTAAAAAAAAAAAGTCCTGGCTTGGCGTCAGAGCTGAAGGGGTGCTTAGGTGTCTGTGAGACCTTTAATGACCTGTTTTGGGAGCAATCTTCCTCACCATAGAGAAATCAGATGGCATCGGAAAACACCCCAAAATAAAGAGGTGTGCTAGCTGCTGGGGAGCTAGACTGGCTGGGGATACTTATTAAAGTATCCAATAAGCTTTTTGCCACACTTTTTTTCTGGAGCTGTGATATGATTTAATTCTACCTGATGAACGTGCGTGTCTGGTCCCAAGAAGAAAAAGATGTTCTTCAGAGTTTAAAGTAAGATTGCTTATGGTTGCTGTTGGTTGTTATTTTGTGTTTAATGTTAGGGGAGGATGAAGTGTTTGAACTATTTCAGAAGTGTGTCTATGAACCTAGAAATGGGTATTTTTAAAGGTGTGGATATTCCTTAACCAGGGAAACCTTAAAATTTTGTTATTAATTGAACAGAGAAAGAAGTTTACAAGAGTCTGTCATGCTCTAACATACTAAGGAGATGGCTTCTAGTTACTTTATATTCGGTAAACATACACTCACTCATTCAGTTCAGCTTAAAATACGTATGTATGATATACATGCTTATGCCTGCATACACACATGCATATATATATACATGCACATGCCGATTTGCATGTATGTATATGCGCATAGAGTTTTGGGATACACGAGAATACTTAAAATGAAGTCTTTTTCTTCAAGAATTACCATCTGGTTTGGGATAGCAAGGATGTGAGGACATTTTCGTGGCACGCGATAGCAGCCTAGATGGGGCCAGTGAGATGACTCGGTGGGCGCAGGTGTCTGCCGCCCAGCCTGGCTCCCTTCATTCCACCCTCCAAACCCAATGGTGGAAGGAACTGCCTCCCAGTTGTCTTCTGACGTGCCCACGTGCACCATGCACAGCCCATACACACTCTCTCAGAAGAAGTAAACGAAGATGTAATAAAAAGTTCAAAAGCCTGGCTATCGAGGAGAAACGGGGCTCCAAGAGTCTAGAGGCTATAATGATTCTTGCTGAGTTGTCAGGAAGTTGTGCTTGAAGTTTAGACGTACTGCAATCCTCCCCTCTTGCCTTGGATCTTGGGTTCTAAATTAATTTCTTCTCTGCACAGTGTTTGGTCTTTCTCGGTAGGTCATTTATTTTTTTTAACCTTGAGAGGTAACAGGGGTCCTTGTGTGGCACTTTCCTCATGATCACAGATCCGGGATTGGTTGTCCTTCGAGTCAGTTTCCATTTATGCAGATGAATGCTCTCCACCGAATCCTGCTTGCAAACTATATCTGGTATGAACATGAGGTTTTTGTCCAAAAGGAAAATTATTGGTGGAAAGATGTGGGCAATCATTTTAAAAATGGCTAAGGAGTCTTGGCCTGCACTTTTTATGTGGACTTGGCCTAGCACAGCCAGGCTCTCCGAAATGGCCAAAAACACTCTTTTTTTTTTCTTCTTCTTCTTGGTTTCAGACTTCTTTCTAATACTTTAGCCAAATGAAATGGGAGGAAAAGTGAGAGGTGGGTACAATCTCACAGTATTGAAGAATTTAACAACATGTTCAATTCCCGAACCTTTATGAACTTTTTAGATCACTATAATTCAGTTTTACAGACCTCTAATTTAAGGCATAGCAGAGGCAAAGAATTACAGACTGCCCAGGAGCTGGAAGGACTGGGCGCCTTCTCCCTAGCCTTTCCAACAGTAAGATTCCGAGAAAGAATTTTCTTCAAAAGAGATTCTGTTTTCCACAGTTGTGAGTTTAGGTGGTGTTTCTCAGCTTGTTTGTCTTAGCCGGCTGGGGTTGAGCTGACATTTTTCAAATATTAAAGCAGCAGTGTGCCTTTTGAGGAAATCTGAAATGTAAGTTAACAGGAAGGGTACCAGAGAGTGCAGGAATTCCTGCACATTACAGGAAGGCAAGTCACAGGAAAAATGTGTCATCTACACTACCCGGGCGAGAAAGCTATTGTCATCAGACAGAATGGCCTTCTGAGGGAGGGAGGGAGGGAGGGAGGGAGGGAGGGAGGGAGGGAGGGAGGGAGGGAGGGAGGGACGGAGCTCTAGCATCTCCTGGCTTACCTGAAAATCCGTATTTGACCCTTTTAGGAGCCAGTCTTCCTCACTTCTCTTCCTATTCACCTTGAAAAAAACAATATGAGCTTATTTTAGTGGGATGCAGTCATAAGTAAGTCATGTAAGAAATGCTTACAAGGCATACCTCAGAAGGGAGTAGGGATGGAGCCGCAAAGTTCTCAGCCCCACTGAGTTAATCTCTGTTTCTGTGATTTACTCCATCCCTGGGGCACCAGATGTGTAAATTTCTCATTCAGCGCGCACATGCCTTTGTTGGGTCGTATCAGACGCGCTTGCCATGCTGAACCTGTAACCCGAGCCAGTGTGTTTTATAACTTTGTCATTCTCAGGACACCCAGTCAGAATAGGCACCTTGGGCCTCCCGCTGTCTTTGTGTGGATCTCGCCTTCCGTTCTTTCTAACACGATGCATGCTAGCTAAATGGTGTGTGTGTGTGTGTGTGTGTGTGTGTGTGTGTGTGTGTGTGTCTGTGTCTGTGTCTGTGTCTGTGTTGGTAATGCAGCTCCTCCCAGGTACAAGGATTGGGATTCTCATTCTTTTGTTTTTCACAGATTAATACCATCTTTAAACAATCTCCCCCATCTGTTAAAATCTAAAAAAATCTGCAAGGAGTATTATTAAAACTTTAAAATGTACATAAATAGTACTCCTTTATTATAGGAATATTCAATAGAAAAAGAAAATAAAAATGACTAATTACTGCAGAATACATTGTGATAGATACTCTTTCAATGGTACACATATTATATATATGTATACATATATATGTGCACACACACACGCACACACACATATACATATATAACATATATATAATATGTGTACTGCTAGTGTACATTCGGCTTCTTTTTATTTTGCTTACCAATATGCTCAGAACTGTGTCTGAGTCAATGTATTTCTACATTTGCAATATCCAATTCCTTTATATTTGCTTAAATAGAGTTTCAATGCCTGCTTACTTCAGAATCATGCATATTGCTCCATGTCCCCAGGCATACAATGCCAAGAGACTAAATTCCAGGAAGTCAACTGCAGAGTGTGAATGTCTATGTCTCCCTCATCCCCCAATATTTTCTTTATATTTCGAAAACTAGTCTATTATTATTATTATTATTAAATAAATGGTCACTATTCATTGAAAATTTTAAACCAAAGAGAAAGTTATGATAAGAATATAGAACTTGAGCCAGCTGCATGGCTTCATTCTTGGAAGTAGGGAGGCAGAAGCAGGTGGATCTCTTTTATTTCAAGAACGTCCTGGTCAATACAATGAGTTCTAGGCCAGCTAGGACTGCATAGAATGGCTCTGTCTCACTCAAAAATTATATACACACACACACTTCACCTTAAACTACCCAGAGATAATTACTGTGCACTTGTGATGACTGTCTTTGTATACATAGCCTTAAATGTGTTATTTTACTGTATGGGATATTCTCCTTAAACTCTCCCATGTGTCTTGGCCGTCTTCCCACATTAGCACACACACAGTAGCCTCATTCTTTGTTACGGTTTTATATTTTAACTTGTAAGAACACAGCCGTGTACTCAGTCTTTCATGGACTTTCACATAGTTTTATGTGCGGTTATAAACAACATGGCAAGGAATCCCTTGTACATAGATTATCCACATTAACCCAATTCTTTCTTTCTTTTCTTCTTTCTTTCTTTCTTTCTTTCTTTCTTTCTTTCTTTCTTTCTTTCTTTCTCTCTTTCCTTCTTTCTTTCTTTCTTTCTTTCTTTCTTTCTTTCTTTCTTTCTCTCTCTCTCTCTCTCTCTCTTTCTTTCTTTCTTTCTCTCTCTCTTTCTTTTTTAAAACAACTTTGCTTTAAAAATATTCCCATACAATATATTTTGATCATATTCTTTTCCCTCCCGGAACTCCTTCCAGGTCCTCCCCACCTCCCTACCCAACCAAATTTATGCTTCTCTCTCTCTAAAATAAATAATAGAAACAAAACAAAGTCAACACAGACAAACTGCAAAAAGATCAATAAAACAAAAATACCAAAACAACAACAACAAAAAAGTTTGTATACACACACACACACATACAAACAGTATTGTATTCATTTTGTGCTAGCCAATTACTTTTGGCCATGGGACCTCTCCTACTAGGTGGTTGATATACCCACATGTCTAATTATTTCTTTAGGATTATTCCTAGTATTAGAAGTCCTGGGTCAAAGGGCATGGATATGTGGCTAAGATATTCTATAAAGAATCCAAACTCTCTCAATTCTCCAATGATAATTGAGAGTTTCTGGCCTCTTCTTTTCAAGAATTATGGTAAATATTGCCAAATATGTAACTCTCCACAAAGAACATACTTTTCCTCCTCTTGAGTTTAGTTTGAAAAAGAAAACCTTTGCCTTTTTGATAAAAGATATTTATATTTGATTCCTACTTACATATTTTTATATTTATGGTTGTGAGCCTAGCCTTTAACGGCTGAGCCATCTCTCCAGCCCTACATATTTTTAAATAAGTTGGAAATGTTCATTTCTCTTGACATCCCTGTTTCATGTGTTTTCTTCGCCCTCATAAAATGTATCTTTAAAATCTTCACGTAAAGATAAAATTATTTTGTTCAAGTTAGGCCAGGAAATCTGAAGACTGTAGAGGTTAGGTAATTATGGGTTGGGAGTTGGGTTCTATGCATCTAAATGGTTTCACTCCTTGATGAGTTCTAATTTTATTTTGACCAAAATGTCTTCTGTACATTTCCCATGTTTTATAATGTAAACTCATTTTGTTTACATGGTCTATAGCTGTCCAGACTCACACAGAAATAATGAGAAAATTATAATGCTCTGCTTTGAATTCCAGCCTGGGAATGACCTGTTTCTGGGTGTGTCTGGAGTTTTAATTACCGCTACAAGGAAAATTAGTTTTTCTTTAGTTTTGTAAGTAATTTTTTTGCGTAGCACCTGGCTGTTTTGTGGACATTGATATAAAATAATGAATTGTTGAAGTTTTAATTACAGGGCTAATCCCAAGGAACAGTTGATTTAAATTTACTTCGTCAAAACAATTAAGACTGCAGTTAATTTTGTTGACCGCCCAAGTTATGTGTCGGGCAGGTGTGATGTCGTCTTAGCTTAGCTTACCCTTCACAACCCTGCCTACGTCTGCGTTCTGGAACTTCCTGATGATCTTTAGGAATCAGAAAGGTGTCTCCAGCACAGGC